GTGGCACTGAATGGTTCTATTGCACAATTTACCAGTGTCACAACTGGCTGTACTGGTGGGAATGGCTGCTTTCCAAGCTGGAAAAACTCTGCTCCCAGCAGAACCCGGAGCCACTCAGGCTTGTCCTCGAGGAGGACCTGAAAACATGGGATATTTTCAATCCTTGAAACAGTAACAAGGCACAGCCTGACTCCTGGGAACTCCCCAGCACAGCTCTGTGTCCCAGCTCAGGCAATCCCAGTGGATCCCTGGGGTGCTTAGGGCACAGCACACGGAACACGGAGCGTGACACAACTTCCACCCTTTCCCAAGGACAAGCAGGAAGGGGAAAACAAGACCCAGCAGCTCTGGGCTCTTCCCTGAACCTGGCACTAAACCCCAGGATTGTTTTGGTCCCACTTCCCAATTCCTAAGGACAAGCAGGAAGGGGGAAAAAAACAATCAGCAGCTCTGACCCTTTCCCTAAATCCCAGGACTATTTTGGGACCACTTCCCAGTGACGAGCAAGAAGGGGAAAACAAGAATCAGCAGCTCTGGGCTCTGCCCTGACCCTTTCACTAAATCCCAAGACTATTTTGGGAGCACTTCCCACTTTTGCACACGGAATTAGGGACTCTTTCTCCAGTGAGGAAACTGTTGCATTTGCCCACGAGCCCCTTCCTTTTTTTTTTGTTTTGGTCTGTTTTTCCCAGTGTTTTCCAGCCCTCTGAAGTACCACAGAGGGTTGTGGAGCTGTGTGGGGGGAGGCCAAGCTCAGGGAATCCCAAAAACCCAGCGTTTTTAACTCCTGCAGCTGTGTCAGGAATGCTCTGAGTAGGTGTAGGCTGAAGGACGGGTAGTTCCCACCCTGGCACAGTATTTTTGGAACTAGTTAGGAAGGCCAGGGCTGCCTGGAGAAAGGATTTGAATTTCCAGCAGCTGCAGGAGAGAAAGGGAGGGAGGGAGGGAAGGAGGGAGGAACAGAGGTCCTTTCACCAGGAACAGGACTCTGGTTTCTGCGCATGGGGATTGAGAGGTGGCAAAGATAACGTCAGTCAGCCCTTAATCTGCATAAAAAAAGATCCAGTTAAATGTGTAAGGTGGAATCTGGCAAGAAAATGACGTTAAATATGGCTCTAGTGAGAGATTGTGGTATCAACAAAAACAGCCAAAAATAAAAAACCCGCCCAAGTCGGAGCACCCTTTCCTGCCTGAGACAGAGAACAATGGTGACATTCAACAGACACCCCCTGGAAAGTGCAATTTATGGAAAGAATGGAAAACAGCCCCCCTTCCCAGCCAGAATAAATCAATGAAGATGTAAAAACGCATGCATTCCGTAAGGAAAAATTAAAACCTTGCTAAAAAAATGCACT